GGAGGGCATATTGGGACCTGCCCTCCCCCCCATCTCTTTGTTTCCCCCCCCCCAGCCGAAGCCGGTTCTCCTGCAAGGCGGTTCCCCTGAGCACCGGAGGATCCCTCTGGGCACGGGGCGTCCAGCCGGCCGGGTCTCCAGGCGCGTCATGTTCTCGGAGGAAGGAGGCCCAGAGGTGCTGAACGGGGCCATCCCGGTGGGCCATAACCCCGACCCGCTTATCGTCCCCGATTATATTGTGTAAGTACCGGAGAGAGAGAGGGAGAGGGAGAGAGAGTTTGGGGTTTGCCCTAACTTTTGTTCATTTCAGCTGCTTTTTTCACGCTTATAAGCCAAAGAGGAAAAATATTTTAAATTTTGGAGCAGTGCAAGTTAATTAAGGGGGAAAGTAAGGTTCTACATTTAGGCAAGAAAAACTAAATGCACAAGTACAGCATAGGTGGCACCTTGCTCAACAGTAGTAACTGTGAGAGGGACCTCGGAGTCCAAGTGGACAATCACCTAAATAGGAGCCAGCCGTGTGCTGCAGCTGCCCAAAAAGCCAACACAGTGCTGGGCTGCATTAACAGAGGGATAGAGTCAAGATCACGTGAAGTATTAATACCACTTTACAATGCCTTGGTAAGGCCCCACTTGGAATACTGCATCCAGTTTTGGTCACCGCCATGTAAAAAAGATGCTGAGACTCTAGAAAGAGTACAGAGAAGAGCAACAAAGATGATTAGTGGACTGGAGGCTAAAACATATAAGGAACGGTTGCTGGAATTGGGTCTGTCTAGTTTGATGAAGAGAAGGACGAGGGGGGACACGATAGCAGCCTTCCAGTATCTCAGGGGCTGCCCCAAAGAAGAGGGAGTCAAGCTATTTTCCAAGGCACCTGAGGGCAGGACAAGAAGCAACAGATGGAAACTAATCAAGGAGAGAAGCAACCTGGAACTAAGGAGAAACTTCCTGACAGTGAGAACAATTAACCAGTGGAACTACCTGCCTCCAGAAGCGGTGAATGCTCCAACACTGGAAGTTTTTAAGAAGAGACTGGACAGCCATTTGTCCGAAATGGTATAGGGTTTCCTGCCTGAGCAGGGGGTTGGACTAGATGACCTCCAAGGTTCCTTCCAACTTTTTATTATTATTATTATTATTATTATTATTATTATTATTATTATTATTATTATTATTATTATTATTATTATTATTATTATTATTATTAATCTGATTTGATGCAAGTATCAAAAACACTCTGGCCCAAGACGGGGGCATCCAGCCTTGGCAACTTTCTCCATGCTGGCTGGGGGATTCTGGGAGTTGAAGTCCACAAGTCTTACAGTTGCCAAGGTTGGAGACCCCTGCAAATCACACTCAGAAGCCATTGGCCGGTGGTGATTCAGGATGCTACGTCCACAGGAGGGTATCAAAAGGTTTTTTTAAACCCTCCCTTCCCTCCGGAGTCTGCCAGGGAAGCCCCCAGGGCTTAATGTCCTATGGAATTGAGTGGGGGGGAAAGATATTTCAAGGTGCCCTGGAAGGAAGGAGGCTGTGTGGGCAGGGTGCCCACCTCCAGAATCTATGCCAGCCAGGCTGGACTCTCTGCCCAATTCCAGCCTTTTCTACAGCTCCCCACTGGCTGGACCTCGCTACTTCTGCTTGCAGCCAGCCCCCCCTCCAGGGAACTGCAGGGTCAATCTCTCTGGGGGGGTCTCAGATGCCCCCCTCCCAGCCCTGGAACTCTCTGAGATTCAGATGGGTTAACTGCAGAAATGGAATTAGTCTCCCCAAAAGCAGGGTCTGCTTTCACGTTGACCCTTTCCTTTCTCTCCTCCGGACAGGAGGTACCCGGCCATTGGGAGTCCGACCGAGCGCGAGAAGTACAAGGCCATCTTCAAGGACCAATACCTGGAGTACCAGGCGCTCTTCCGCGAAATCCAGGCCACGAGGCAGAGATTTAAAGAGCTGGAGATCCTGATGTCCAGATTGCCAGCCCAGCTGCAGAACAGAGAGGTCAGACTTTGCACGTATCCGTGAGACAATTAGGACCCTCCTCTAAATAATTATAGGACATTAGGAGCAATTTCCTGGTGCTTCAGGATAGGGCAAATAAAGGTCTCCCTAAAATGCAAGTCTGTATATGCTGAGCTGCTCGAAATATGGGCCAGGTTTGGTCACCACGATGTAAAAAAAAATATGTTGAAACTCTAGAAAGAGTACAGAGAAGAGCAACAAAGATGATCAGGGGACTGGAGGCCAAAACATATAAGGAACGGTTGCTGGAATTGGGTATGTCTAGTCTAATGAAGAGAAGGACGAGGGGGGACAGGATAGCAGTCTTCCAATATCTCAGGGGCTGCCCCAAAGAAGAGGGAGTCAAGCTCTTCTCCAAAGCCCCTGAAGGCAGGACAAGAAGCAACGGGTGGAAACTGATCAAGGAGAGAAGCAACCTGGAACTAAGGAGAAACTTCCTGACAGTTAAAACAATTAACCAGTGGAACAACTTGCCACCAGAAGTTATGGGTGCTGCAACACTGGAGGTTTTTAAGAGGAGACTGGACAGCCATTTGTCCAGAATAGTGTAGGGTCTCCTGCTTGAGCAGACGGTTGAAAACTTCCAAGGTCCCTCCCAACTCTGTTATTCGGGAAAGCAGGGGTCCCCAACCTTGGCAACTTTAAGACTTGTGGACTTCAACTCCCAGAATTCCTCAGCCAGCTTGGCTGGCTGAGGAATTCTGGGAGTTGAAGTCCACAAGTCTTAAAGTTGCCAAGGTTGGGGACCTCTGTGCTAGCGATCTCACAAAGAATGAAATAGGAGCCTTAGTCCAGTGGAGTAAAGAACACCAAACTTTATTTAAGTTATAAAAAAAAGGAGAGGCTCAGTAAATCATAAATGCTAAAGTAGATCCCATGTTTTCCAAAGAGCTTTTCCAAATACGGACCAGGACCATCTTCTAACGTGCAGAATTCAGCACGCTCCGTGCCTACGGCAGCCATTCACGCTTGAAAAGCAGCCAATCCCTTCGCCTGGTCTGACTAGGTCAATGAAGGGTCCAGGCCAAAGGTGTCCAAAGGTTGAATCAGGGCAACTGGACCAAACTTGGTGAATCGGAGACCTTTTCGTTGCTCATCCAAGCCACTTCATCCGTCGGGGCAACATTAATTCGGCAGAGAGAGTCAGAGAGGAATGTACCAATTCTTGCCCAGCCAACTTCAGGGGTTTCCCCCCCCCCCAATGGTTTTTGTGGGTCCAAAGTGGGTCAATAGGCTTTGAACTTGAGGCACTCTCCCAGATGGGATGGGGGGGGTCAGGAGCCCAAATAAAATTACCCCCCCCCCAAAAGGATTACATTCAGAAAGCAACAGCTGAGAGGAAAATGGATTCCTGGCCATGCCCTGAGGGAGGGGGGGGTCCTCTGTGGGGATGGGGGCTGAGCACCTACAGGGAGTTGTGTAGTTGTGATTTGCGATGGCACTCAACACATTCACTCCCCCCTCCTGGCAGGAAATTCAGCTCTTTTCTTCACGGGGGGGGGCGTTTGGTTGCTGGGTAGTTGCAAAGCTGCCTTTCCACCCCCCCCCCAAAGTCTTCCCAGCCCCCTTTGCTTCCCACTGAGCCTGCAAGGCCCTGGGTGCCGCTGAGCAGCGGCTATGGGCCGGGCTCGGAGGGCAGAGCTGGACCCACAGACACCCTCCCCCCCCGGTTCTTCCCCTGGGTGGTTCTGCTAAGGGGCTGCCCCACTCGGGCTTTGCGTCACCCCTGACCCAAAGAGCCTGGGGGAGGTCTCCTGGCGATGCCCCCTGGGGCTGGATGGGCCCTTGGCTCCCTTCCTGAACCTGCTATGGTGGGGAAGGGTCTCTGGGCTTCTCTGAAGGAGCCGAACCCCTCTTCTCCTCTGCAGGAGCAAGGCCGCCTCTCGGCTGTCTGGCGGACGTACAGAGGCAAGAAGAAGGTAAGAGTGGGGGCGGGGCTGTTTTCCCAGTTACTCAATGGCCGGGGCTTCATGGGGAGGGGGTCTCCCATGGAGGGTGGGGGAGCTGCCTGCCCTACTGAGGTAGCCTCATCTCCCCCTGCACCCGCAAAGGGCAGCCCTTCTTCCCCCCCCTCCTGGCAGGTTTGGGCAATGCCCAATGCCGTTGCTCCTGGCCTATTTGGGTCTGGGGGCTGCAGACCCTGAATGTGTGAAAGGCTGTTTTTTGCATCTGGGACAAGGGTACAAGTAGCTCTCAACTTAGTAATGGTTTAGAATAGAATAGAATAGAATAGAATAGAATAGAAGAGAAGAGAAGAGAAGAGAAGAGAAGAGAAGAGAAGAGAAATATAGACTAGAACAGAACAGAACAGAACAGAATAGAATAGAATAGAAATATAGAATAGAACAGAACAGAATAGAATAGAAATATAGAAGAGAATAGAATAGAAATATAGAACAGAATAGAATAGAATAGAATAGAAATATAGAAATAGAATAGAATAGAAATATAGAACAGAATAGAATAGAATAGAAATATAGAATAGAACAGAACAGAACAGAATAGAAATATAGAAGAGAAGAGAAGAGAATAATAGAACAGAACAGAACAATGATAGAACAGAACAGAACAGAACAGAACAGAACAGAACAGAATAGAATAGAATAGAATAGAGCTGGAAGGGACCTTGGAGGTCTTCTAGTCCAGCCCCCTGCTGAAGCAGGAGACCCTATACCATCTCAGACAAGTGACTGTCCAATCTCTTCTTTAGTGACCATTCAAAGGTACAACAGCACGGAAAAAATGACTTGTGACCGATTTTCACACTTACGACCGTTGCTGCATCCCCAGGGTCACATGATTTACATTCGGACCCTTGACAGCTGACTCGTATTTATGACGGTCGCAGCGTCCCTGGGTCATGTGACCCCATTTTGCGACCTTCTGCCAAGCAAAGCCAACGGGGGGGGGAGGGGAAGCAAAATTCACTTTTAACAGCCGTGTTAGTAACTGAACAACTGCAGTGACCCACTTAACAACTGAGGCAAGAAAGGTCTGTAAAATGGGGGCAAAACTCACTGAATGGCTGTCCCATTGAGCAACAAAAAATTTTGGTTATAAGACGAGGACTACCTGTAATAGAAAAGAGTTAAAATTAGGGAGGCCGAATGCTTTTTGGTGCCAGTGGCAGCATCGGCCTTAAGACCAACCCTCCTTCCTCTGCCCCCCCGTCCCCCCCCGTCCCTCCCCAGGACCCCTCCTTCCTGGAGAAGCAGGAGCGCTGTGACTATCTCAAGAAGAAGCTCTCCCATCTCAAGGCTCAGATCCAGACCTTCGACTCCGATCGGAGCGAGCCCTCCACGATTCTTTGACTGGGGGCCCGAAGCCCAGCCCTGGCCGTGGAGAATGGGATTCGGACACCGGATGGCAGACCCAGCTGCCCTTCGGGAAAGCCCCTCAGGCTGGCAAAGCGGGAAGGAAAAGAGGAAGGGGACGAAGACCGGTCGCCAGGGTGAAAGGGGACCGCGGGACTGACCGTTGGGAGCTCTGAAGGACCAGCTTCCACCCTCCTGGAGGAATCTCTCTATGGGGGGGGGTGATGCCATCCTCATGGCATGGGATCAATCCCTCCCGGGCGGCTGGGGGTGCCCCGTCTGTCCTGAGGCTCCTTTCCCAAGTTGGTCTCAGGGCAGTTCATGCCCCCCCTTCGCCCACCCCAATCTGCTTGCTGTGCCCCCAACAGAAAAGGGGGGGAGGGCAGATGGGGGCCCTTCCACAGGGTGCGCAGAACCGGCGATGTTTCCACTTTGGGCAGCTCCTCGGAGCTCTTTTGGGGGGAATAGAGTGGAGAGAAGAGATTCGGGTTACTTTTTGCACAATTCAGTCTTCGCTCGAAGAAAAACGCTCCCCCCCCCCAGCTCTGGTGGCGAAACCCAGAAGAAAGGTCTGGCTGGCGTGGCAGGGCTAGAGGGGAAAGGACGGACTCTAGGCAGTGGGGCGGTTTTTGGGGGGCTCTGGGCTTCTGCATGCACCTCTCGGGTCCCCAAAATTACAGACCTCTTTTTTAAATAAAATCTGTAAATCAGTTGAAACTAAGTTGCACTCTATGTAAGAGAACGCTACCTATCTACCGAAATGCACCTGATCAAAGATAAAACCCTTGCAGAATCTATATGGGTCAACATAAAAGAAGAAAAAAGTGACATTGCCTTAGGCAGGGGTAGGCAACCTTGGCCCTTTTATGACTCGTGGACTTCAACTCCCAGAATTCCTGAGCCAGCTTTGCTGGCTCAGGAATTCTGGGAGTTGAAGTCCACGAGTCATAAAAGGGCCAAGGTTGCCTACCCTTGCCATAGGGGTATACTACAGGCCATTGAACCAATCAGAAGAAATAGATGGACTCTTTGCCAACCGGTTAACAAACAGTATATAGGAAGCACACCACAGTAGTAATGGGAGACCTCAACTATATTTGAAGTAATGGGAGACTTCAACTAAGCATATAAGGAACGGCTGCTGGAATTGGGGATGTCTAGCTTAATGAAGAGAAGGACGAGGGGGGACATGATAGCAGTGTTCCAATATCTCAGGGGCTGCCCCAAAGAAGAGGGAGTCAAGCTATTCTCCAAAGCGCCTGAAGGCAGGACAAGAAGCAACGGATGGAAACTAATCAAGGAGAGAAGCAACCTGGAACTAAGGAGAAACTTCCTGACAGTTAGAACAATTAACCAGTGGAACCACCTGCCTCCAGAAGCGGTGAATGCTCCAACACTGGAAGTTTTTAAGAAGAGACTGGACAGCCATCTGTGTCCTGCCTGAGCAGGGGGTTGGACTAGATGACCTCCAAGGTCCCTTTCAACTTTACTACTACTACTACTACTACTACTACTACTACTACTACTACTACTACTACTGTTGTTGTTGTTGTTATTATTATTATTATTATTATTATTATTAAACTACCCTGAAATCAACTGGGAGACAAACTCTGCACCAAGTGGAAGATCAAACAGATTCCTAACCAACTTAGCTGACAATTTTGTCCCCCAAAAGGTGGAGGAGAAAACTAGAAGTAAAGCTACACTGGAGCTAATTCTTACTAATAGAGAAGAAGTGATAGAAGGAGTTGAAATTGCCGGAGCCTTGGGGGAAAGGGACCACCTCATGCTGAAATTCAATATTCTACTCTAAGTGGGAAGGCAGGAGACCTGGTTAGGTCAAAGGGGCTTCAACCAGGAGACTGAGCAGAGGGTCTTGCTTGGCAGGGGGAGGGTCTCCCGTGTCTGGCCCTTCCCACTTTCTCTCTCTCCCCCCTCCCCCCCTTCTGGGAGTATTAAAGCCTGGATTTCCTCCTGGCCAAGCAGGAAGCAGAGCCAGGAAAGAGGTTTTCAAGCCTTATCAACAAAGGGTGGTGAAATTTGTGTGTGTGTGTGTGTGTGTGTGTGTGTGTGTGTGTGTGTGGCAGGTGGCAGGCAGGAGTCAGTGTGTGTGTCTGTGTCTGTGTGTGTGGGGCAGGTGTCAGGCAGGAGTCACTTCAGATAAGTTGGTTGTGCGGTGCGTGTCTGGCTCTTCCGGCTTGGCACAAACTTTGCGCCAGGGAATCTCTGGATCGTGGCGGTTCCCTTCCAGACGTTTCATGACCCAACCGGGGAGCAAGTTCACCTGGTCTGCCGGCCTCGTTAACCGGTTCCCTGCTCGGTCCACAAAGGCTCCGCGAGCCCCCGAGAGCGCCGAGGACGCCGCCCCCGCTCGCCCGGCCTCCCCCGCCTCCCCGCCTCGGCCGCTCAGCCCGCGCAGCCCCGGGAAACGCGACGGAGATCGGAAACGACCCGAGTGCAGCCCGGCCCATCCGCTACCCAGCAGCCGCTCCCAGCCCGGAGCTCTGCGACTACAGTGCCCATCGCGCCCAGCCGGCCACCCGGGCTTTGGGGGCGGAAGCGAAGGGCTGCCGGGCTCCCCCGCCGCTCCCGGGGCGCAGAGTCCCGGGGGGAGCGCTTCTGGGGGGGGGCTTTCGGGGGGCCTGGAAGGCGGCTCAGCCGGGGGGGTGTCCCGGGGGGGGCCGCACGGGAGAGGCGCCGCCGCCTCAAGCAAGCAGCTCCCGGCCCCGCCCGCCCGTGGGGC